GAGATTAAGGACTTTGTCCAGGCTTGCACAGCTGGTAAGTGACAAAGCAAGCTCTCTTTGACTCCAGCATTCTTGGTTTTAACCACTATGTTATGTTAGCTTCTTTGTGACATGCTTTTGTCTTTTAGGCAATCTCAGTTGTTTTTTCAACTTATATCAGTGAGCTCTGGGAATTCTTTATGGAAGTAGAAGTAGCTTATATTTATTATTAAAATGAACTAAAGGGTCATATAATATTTTGTTTTAATCTCTGGGGGAAGTAGATTTGTAAACAGCCATTAACTACCTTCTTTGAGTTTTGAAGTTGAACCCTCAGTTGTTCAATTCATAATTGACTCATTAATAATTTAGTTAATTCAACAAATATTAATGAAGCACTTACCACGTGCCTGCCACTGTTTGAAGTACTCAGGAACTATGCCAGACTCAAGGGCTTTCTATAGAATTTCGATATTATTCTTATCTGAGTACTCACTTTTCAGAAAGCTTCAGTTCTAACTATCATTGTGATTTTTTAAGGAATAAAATGGAATCTGTTCCGACTGACACAGCATGGATTAAGTCCATGTTAAATTATTTGTCATATGCATTATATAGGTTTTGCAACTTTAAAAATGTTGAGCATAAAAAGTTGAACTATTTTTGAAAAGGAACAGTGGAAACAAAATTCAATAATAGATTGGAATATTCTTTATTCCTCAATATAGTTTATAGATATATTAGTATATCTATAAACTATATTGAGGTATATAGTTTATATATAAGTATATCTATATATAGTTTATAGATATACTTAGTCCCGAATCCTGTGCTCTCCTCATCTCTTATGACCACTTAGCCCTACATATGCATCCTTTAGGGGCCCAGGGCCTACCTTCTGCTTGAAACCTTCCGGGACCACAGGCCACAGATTGTTCTTTCTCCTCTAACTCCAGCATATGTTTACTGTCTGTAATATCCTTTTGTCCCATAAGAGCACGACCATTGGATTCTCATATTTCAAGGGTTCTTAACCTGGGGTGGGCCCAGAATCACCTACAGAGTTTTTTTTGAAATTCATGTGCTTAATCTTTATCTTACCACATATTTTCGGATTTGACATCTCTAGGGCTAGAGCCCAAGTGTGTATTATTTAAAACTACTCCCCAAGTGATTCTGAAGTTTACAAGCAGGTTCAGATAACATAGCTTACATCGTTGTCATGTATGGTCACTTCCCCTTTACATAGTCTACACCAGGGGCCCCCAACCTTTTTGGCACCAAGAATTAGTTTTGTGAAAGACAAAACTTTTCCATGCACTGGAGCAGGGTCAGGGGGATGGTTTCAGGATGATTCAAGCACATTACATTTACTGTGCACTTTACTTCTATTATTATTACAGTATAATATATAATGAAATAATTATACTACTCACCATAATGTAGAATCAGTGGGACCCTGAGCTTGTTTTCCTACAACAAGAGGGTCCCATCTAGGTTTGTGGGAGACAGTGACAGATCATCAGGCATTAGATTTTCATAAGGAGCATGCAACCTAGATCCCTCCCATGTGCAGTCTGCAATAGGGTTCATGCTCCTATGAGAATCTAATGCTATCACTGATCTGACAGGAGGCTGAGCTCAGGTGGTAATGTGAGTGATGGGTAGTGGCTGCACATACAGATACAACTTTCCTTGCTTTCCTGCCACTCACTTCCTGCTGTGCGGCCTGGTTCCTAATAGGCTACAGACTGGTACTGCAGTTGGGGACCCCTGGTCTATACAATTCTGTAAAGCAAGTTCTACCTGTTCAACTAGGCTTCAGCACCTAAAAACACTGGGATTAAAATTCTTCGAATTTTCCTAATTGCCTATCGCAATCCTGAGCACAAATACTCCAGAGTTAGTCACTGAAAGAATTAGTTAAAGGGATTGATCCTTTTTACTCTTTCCTCACAATGCACTCAGAAAATTTCAGGAATGAATTATGCCATCCAATACCTAAGTCTGGTACCCTGGAGGCAAACTCCCTGGCCTTCTCTGTGTGGTAGAGATAAAAATGGTTTGCTTAAGTTCTGGCTTTCTTCCTTCCAGAAGGATAGGTCTGAAGTTGTTTGGCCACGTGACTTGCTTTGGTTAGAGCTGTGAGTAGTTGACATGATGAAGGTGTCTCCAGGCTGTAGAATGTAATTGCTGGTGCAATACCCCACAGGCTCTCTTCTGCTGCCTTGATAATGAGCAAAGCCACTGATAAGGAGGCCCCAGCACACTGGGTCCTTGAGTGAGGACACAGGAAGCAGATGCTCCCACTGACCTGTCTGGGACATACAGCCTGAGTAAGAAATAACATTTGTGGTTACAGGCCCCAGAAATTTGGGGAATATTTGTTACCACATCTGAATCTGTTCCGACTGACACAGCATGGATTAAGTCCATGTTAAATTATTTGTCATATGCATTATATAGGTTTTGCAACTTTAAAAATGTTGAGCATAAAAAGTTGAACTATTTTTGAAAAGGAACAGTGGAAACAAAATTCAAAACTGAGAGTAGAAAGTTAATGAATTTGGGACTTGTGTTTATAGGGCCACTAAGGTGATATTTTTGTCATATATATACTGTTTTCTTATTAAATTCACCAGCTGGGTGTGGTAGCTCACATCCATAATCTCAGCACTTTGGGAGGCTGAGGCAGGAGGATCACTTGAGCGCAGGCGTTTGAGTCCAACCTGGCTAACACGGTGAAACTCTGCCTCTACCAAAAACACAAAAAATTAGCCGGGTATGGTGGGGCATACCTGTGGTCCCAGCTACTTGGGAGGCTGAGGTGGGAGGATCACTTGAAGCCAGGAAGTTGAGGCTGAGGTGAGTCATGTTCATACCACTGTACTCCAGGATGAGTGACAGAGCAAGACTCTGTCTCAAGAAAAATAAAATATTAAATAAATAAATACTAAATTCACCACTCTTCTCATTCAGCTGATAACATAATGAAGAACTGTTTGTTTAAAGGAATAACTATCGTCTTCAGTTTTCTACTATGGAGAACTGAAAATTGAACAAAAGGCAGTCATCCAAGGAGATTTAGTGTGTTGGCCACACCCTGAATTTGTCATTTGGGATAAATTCCATTGAGATGGTGGCTGGCAGGGGTGCCTCCTTTCCAGGGTTGCGACGCTTACTGTTGAACTACTCTGCTGCACACGGCCACCCACAATTCATAATTACTTGTGTGTCTTTAGCTTTCCCCAACAAGGAGTATTATCTTTCTCTAGGGGTTTGAGAGTTTGGTATATGAAAAACTATATCCTGTCTTATTTTGCATTTCTTTAGTGGTTGGTGAAGTTGACTGATATTACATGTGCTTTTTGACTCATTTCTTCTTTTGTGAATTACTCTTCATGTCTTTAACCAGGGAGATCTTTAAGAGGTGGATGCCTCCCTGATGTCAGGACACAAGGACCCTTAGCCCCTCTGCTTGCCTGGGAGCTTCCTGACCATCCTCAACTGCTTCAGCCAGTGTCTTGGCACAAAGGTTGGCAGGAGGGCCCCCAGCGCAGTTACCACCCTGACCCCTGCCTCCCAGCCTGGACTCCTGATGCCTCCTTTTACTCCCTAAGTGCCAGGGTCTGATCCTGGTTCTTGAATGCCAAGGAAGGGCAGAGAGGGTGTGAGAATAGAGGACATTGTCAGAACCCAGAGAATTTCACTTTTAAGACTGTACCTCTCTTTTCCCTTCCTTCTTCTAGCCTCTCCCGCCTCCCTTTCCTAGCTTCCCTGGTGTGGAGGGTTGGAAGGTTGGGTGGGCTCCAGCAGGTGCTGCAGCAGCAGTTGATACCCCAACTCCTTGCTTCCCCTGGGAGCTGCCAGCAGCTTGTTCTGCATCACATGCCACTCCTCAGGGGGCTCAGGCTCACTCACAACCCCTCCAATCTTGCCAAAGGTCACATCCAAGGAAGCTGTGGTTCCCCCTTTTCTCCATCCCCACCTTGGCTCAGGCTACTCTCTCCTTTTCGAAATTCCTTTCTCTACTTTTACTACGTTGATGTCTGCATTATCTTATATTCTCATCATCTTACCTACCCCACCACCCAGGGCCATATCACCTATGAGGCAGACTGAGACCCTTGACTCAGCCGATTAGCTCCTTGATCATCTGACTGATTTGTTGATCAGGAGTACCTGCTATCCATGGAAGGATAGATTGAGGTCAGATTCTGGGAGGCCTTGAATGCTGGGCCAAGGAGTTTAGATGGAATTGCGTGGCCCATAAAATAGTGCAAGGGAGTGGGTTACAAGCAGGGGTGTACCATATTTTTTTGGGGAGAGTAGGGAGAGACCCAAAGAGGAGTGTCCAGTTAGGTGAGGACTTTACTTCCTGTGGGACGACAATGAGACAATGAAGAGGATGGTGCTTTGTCTTGGGACCCACCAAGATGGTGTCACTATGGGGGGGCCCTTTTGAATACACAGGGAGTACCACTGCTCATCAGTCCTCTTACCCTGGGGAAACTTAATAAACTTTCTTGCGAAAGAGGGACGTAAGGTGATGAAGTTGTTTTTTTCCTTATGGGTGCTGGAATGTGGGGGGTGTTTTACCCTGTTACGACTCTCATCTTGGTAATCAGCACAAGGTCCATGGCCTCTGTGGCAAGAGCAGTGACAATGTTTTCACACCCCAAGGGGCACACAAAAGTCAGCCATCTCCCTGCTGCCAGGTCAGGAGTGAGGGCTCAGAGCAGTGGAAGTCCAGGGACTCCCCAGAAATGGGGCTTAGGCACAAAGATCATTTAGACCACCCCCAAGTCCCTGGTCACCTTCTGCTTTCCCCACACATCAGGGGAGGTTCTGGCAAGAAGTAGCACATCCACACTGGGAAATATGAAGAGGTTTCGTATAGGACCATTTACAAAGGTCGAGCAGGGATAGGAAAACTTCAAGGGGTGCTGTAGTTCCCAGGAGAAATTCTATCACCGTATCTGTTTTGCTCTTTCTCCCATCTGGAAAATGCACACACATACCTGAGTAACTCACTTTCTTCTTGAATTCCAAAAAACTTTTATGATTGTACATACAGTCTTCTCCAAGAGTGCTCAGAAGGGCTCCGCGTGTAGTTGTGTGGAGAGGGTCCCCCTGCAGGAGCCAGGACTTCCAGGAGCCACACGCCACAGTGACCTCACAGCAGTGCGGGGAGCTAGGGGCATAAACACCATGACCTCATTCTTCTGTGCTCTAAGCTATTGCTGATGCTGCCTGTTGGCCAAACCAAACTGGCAACCAGAGGAAAAGGAAGCCCGCTGAGGGAGTCCATCTTGTTACCTCCTAGGCCAGGGCAGAGGGCAGAGGGTAGAGTGTGGGTTGCAGGGAAAGTGGAAGATACACTCCTCTCCCCACTGTAGGGGAAGAAAAACTCTTCCTCTCCCATCTTAGATTTAGTGATTGGGGACCCGTGAATGAAACTGACAAAAGACAGATTAGCAAGAGAGAAAAACAGATTTAATCATGTAAGTGCGGAATTCACAAAAAATGCTACTCAAAGAGATAGTTAGAATTTGGGGCTTATGTAGCATCTGAAAGGAAAGGGAGGGGGAGAAAGGATATTTATGGGAGAAAAATGACTTTTGGAAAGATAAATGGGCACTTAGGAGGGTAGATGGGAGATATAGTTTTGTGATAGTGGCTCATGTCTGTTGAGGAGAGTCAATCTTCCCTGTTTGCAAGAAACTCCTGGGAGGGGTTTATGCCAACTGAGTTCTTTTGAGTTCTTTTGGGAGGCTCTGCTTTTAGGCAGATAAAGGATTTCAGAAACTCAAATGCCTTCTGCTTAAAATAATTTTTATACCCCAGTGATATATTCTGGACCACTTCACCACCAAAGGTAGCAAGACTTGTGGGGGGCTGTGGGAGACCAAAGGTTCCCAATTTTTGAGCCACCACGTTTGAGGGACCAGAGAATCAAAGCTACTGTGGGGCTGCGCAGGCTTCTGGGAAGAGAGCTGGAGTGATGGGGCCTCAGATCTCCCCTCACAGAGAGCAACCTCTGTCACCAGGTAGCCCTGCTTCTGGGATATCCCGTCCTGATCAATCTTAGGCTGCTCTAAGGCATGGCTATGGGGCATTGTGCCATGTTGCCCCTTAGTCTAGGGAATCTGACACTTGGCCTCTCACATGCTGGAAAGCCAGCATCCTATTTATCTCGCAACTTCAGGAAATTGTACTGCTTCTAGGTCAGGTTCTGGCTGGAGTAAAGAATGCCAGGCTACAGGGTCAAGAATGCCAGGCTACAGGGTCAAGTGACATCTTTTTCCTCAGTGTTTAAGGAACATGCAGAGCCCTTCTGAGCACTCATGGAGAAGATTCTATGTACAAGCATAAAAGTTTTTCGGAATTCAAGAAGAAAATGAGTTACTCAGGTGTGTGCGTGCGTTTTCCAGATGGGAGAAAGAGCAAAACAGATAAGGTGATAGAATTTCCATTGTTAGATGCCTCTTGTTTGTCTGTGAACTACGCATGAAGGAGCTATCCTGAGCCACGAATACTGAAAACACTTGAGTGCTTTTCCACGTGTGAAAACCTTACCCTTTGAAAAATCCAAGGCCCACCCTGGGCCACACATGTCGAATCTGAGCTCAGCTGTTAGGCAGCTCCTCACCTGCGCCAACAGCGAAAGCAAAAGTGGTTCGGCACAGACATTGTTTAAAATGGCTGCGTTAAAAATACCATCTCGGCTTCACAGATTTCTGGAGCTGTGAGGAGCATCCTCATTTATGTGCTCTGATGAAGGTGAGTCTGGGAGGAATGCACAAGCCAGTTAAAAGTGGTTCTCTAATTGGATTATGCAACAGCTTTTGAATCTTGATGCCTTAAATTTTTAAAGAGCCAGCAACCTCTCTCAGCCCAAACTCCCTGTGGCTCTGAGCAAGGCTGCAGGGCATTGAAGGGGGACAGGCTGACAGCTCAGTCAGGTGTGCTTCAGGACTGTTATGGAAAGAGAAGGAGATCCATGTATGGGGAGGACTTTGCTAAGGGGTGAGGAGGAAAGAAACTGCTACCGTGTGGGAGGGAGGCATGCATGGACTCCAGAAGACCTGACTTGTGGGGTCCCTGTCCAGTTAAGGAAGTTGAACATATTTTTGGTTTAGGTTTGCTTCAGAAGTCATATAATCTTTGGCACTCACTAATGCCGACTGTGACCCTTGCATAGCCAACTCCCAGAGAACCTAAGTCAAAATCAAATACTTGGCCTTTCTTTTCAGAATGCTTTCATTTGGTGACCCCAGGCAAACATTTTGCAAAGGATCCTCTTACCTCCTGTTAACTGCAACCTTTGCTACCTGCCAGGTTACCAGGTGGTTCCTTCAATTTGTTCAACACAAGGTCTAGTTGGCCAGGTCAGGTTCCATTCCAGTGGCCCCAGGACTGGAACTTGTCCAGGACTCACAGACCTTCCAATGAGAGGGATCAGGGCTGTTGACCCAGTGGCATTATTCTCCAGCTGGGCTTTGAGATAGAGTCAGAACTGTCAGTGTTTCTGCAGTGCCTGCCTCCAGAGGTTTTGGGGTTTGGGGCTGAGGTATAGGAAAGAAGACAGGGTTAAGAAAGATGACCAATGTGGTGGTCCTATGCAAAGATAACGTCTACTATTTACTTCTGAGGAGTGGAACAGTTGGCAAATCACCTAGAAGTTAGTGGAAAGGATTGTGAAGACAGGAGAAAGAGGAAAAATACTCAACATGTGTTGATTATGAATTTTAATTACTGAGTTATCTGTTCAGTCAACAGGCTGGGAAAGAAATGTGGGCAGGAAGAGCTCTATGAATGTTACAGATGATACAATTCTGCTTTTAGGAAATGCACAATTAAACTGTGTCTATACAACCCAAAGTAAAAGCAGATGTATCCGTCACCAGACTATTTTGATTAATGGGGAAATTTGGAGCTTAAATTATCTGGTTCCGCCAGCTATGTTGATCAAATGAACTGGATCATTGCCAGATCTCCATTTCTCTCAGTAGGTTGTAGACACAACTTTGGGTGAGGCAGTTTCAGGGACAGGATTCATCATATGAGGCAGCAGAATCTAAGTGGGAGGGAAAGGCACTACAAAGCAAGTGATAACAAAATCCTTACATTTGGATAACCCGTATCGAGAGGCCTTGGACTTAGGTTTACTTCCAAATCACATAATTGACTCAGCAGGCTACATGACCTCTGGTGTGGAACCACACTCTTCCTGCTCTTTCTACGAGTTGGTTATCCAATTAGAGAAGCAGTCCTCATGCTGCTGGTTTGCACTGAGGGGACTGAGTGACTGGGAAGAAGTAGAAGAGTTGATAGAAGGATATTTTTTGGTATTTACCCTCTGATACCCAGGGAGGAGCTCTTTCTGATCACACATTCAGAGAAGAGACCAGTGCTGTGAAGACAAGCCACCTCTGCCATCTTACTGACTTGTCCAAAATTATCTCTTGATATGACAGAACATACCACCTGCCCTCCAAAGTTTTCACTGAGCCACTGTGTTTTTCTTTTTTTTCCTTTTTTTTCTTTTTTGAGACGGAGTCTCGCTGTGTCGTGCCACTGTGTTTTTCTTTGCTTGTCTAAAACATGTTTGCTGTTTGTTTATAGATACAGCCATTTGCAAATTATGGAGTCAGTGTAGCTCTTGCATTCAGGGCTTTTTCTAGAGTACACATTTTAAATATCACCACTCTCTGAGACGAGAAGATGATTTCGGTCATGGAGGATGCTGTTTCACCAAAAAATGTCTTTTGAAATAAGGCTCTGCTGGAATATGGATCCTTTACTGTTAACTAATGCGTTGAATGGTTTTGGATGTCTTTTATTGAAAAACAAGGGAGGCAAAGTTAAAAAAATAAACAGGAATAATGACACTGGGAATCATTAAATGATAATGGGTGATTAAGAAGTGGCTGGAACAACTCAAATGTCCCTCAATGGATGAATGGATTAATAAATTGTGGTATATACATAAAATGGAATATTATACAGCTATAAAAAGGAATGAAGTACTGAAACAAGGTACAGCGTAGATGAACCTTGAAGACATGCTAAGTGAAAGAAGCCAGACACAAAAAGTTACATATTGTATAATTCCACTTACACAAAATATCCAGAATAGGTACATTCATAAAGACAGAAAGCAGAAATTCATAAAGACAGTTAAGTGCTGGGGAGAGGAGCAGAAATGGGAAGTAACTGCTTTATAGGTAATTGGGTTTTCTTTTGGGATGATGAAAATGTTTTGGAACTAGGTAGAAGGGGTGGTTGCACAACTTTAAGTGTGCTAAATGCCGCTGAATTGCACACTGTAAAGTGGGTTAATTTTATGTTTTGTAAATTGTGCGTAAAAAAAGGGGCAAGAAAGCAAACATGTTTGAGTCGTGCTACTCCCACACTCATTCTCTTTTCCTTTTTCTTTCTTTCTCCCTTCCTTCCTTCCCTCCCTCCCTCTTTTCTTCTTTCCTTCCTTCTTTCTCTTTTTCTCTCTCTCTCCCTCCACCCCCCTGCCCCACGCAGTGATGCGATCTTGGCTCACTGCAACTTCTCCCTTCCGATTTCAAGCGATTCTCCTGCCTCAGCCTCCTGAGTAGCTGGGATTACAGGCTCACACCACCACACTCAGCTAATTTTTGTATTTTTAGTAGAGACGGGGTTTTACCATGTTGGCCAGGCTTGTCTGAAACTCCTGACCTTGTGATCTACCTGCCTCAGCCTCCCAATCATTCTCTTTTCTTAATGAAGAGGCACCGAGTTTAGGACCACTTTGGAAATGTTCCCTATAGCCAAACAACGTCAATGCCCTAAATGACCTTGGAGACCATTTCCTCTCATCTTCTCATTTTGCAGATGAGAAGTAATTAGGGAGAGGTCCCTTGCTTGATTCTTTTTTTTTTTTTTGAGACGGGGTCTCGCTCTGTCACCCAGGCTGGAGTGCAGTGGCCAGATCTCAGCTCACTGCAAGCTCCGCCTCCCAGGTTCACGCCATTCTCCTGCCTCAGCCTCCCTAGTAGCTGGGACTACAGGCGCCCGCCACCTCGCCCGGCTAGTTTTTTGTATTTTTTTAGTAGAGACGGGGTTTCACCGGGTTCGCCAGGATGGTCTCGATCTCCTGACCTTGTGATCCGCCCGTCTCGGCCTCCCAAAGTGCTGGGATTACAGGCAGATCAGTGCTTAATCCAGGAAATTGCACTGTGTCCTGAGAGTAGGAGATGTAGCATTCTGAGACACCAACTCAAAGTGAGCAGAACATATCCAATAACTTCTTTTTTGCTCTGTTTTTGACAAATGTGCTAATGATTGTAATATAGTAATAATAATAGCAAAAATAAGAAAAAAAAACACAAGTAGATGAGATGCATCATTTCACCTACTGCCATTCCTCAATGTGTAGATATTGCAAAACATCATAGATTTATATAATTTTATCAATCAAAAAATTGTAAACATATAATAAACTGATAATAATATCAGTTTATTGTGGTCTTATTATAGTGCCAGATACTGAGTGAAAGAAGCACATTTTACGCAATACTTCATTTAATTTCCCCCCATCCCTGTGAGGTCAATGAGAAAACTGATGTCCACAAAGGTGAAATAAATTTCCTTCAGAGCTTAGAAGAGTTAGGGCTGGAACTGACCATTGCCAGCAGCTACAGTACTCTTAATTAAAACATCCAATACATGGTATCTAGACCTTTAGATTTCACAAACTAGTAAAATTTCCAGAAACCAACATAAGGTGGCCACATTTTATTTTGCCAAGTATAAACACTGAGTAACAAGCAAATAATAAAAACAACAAACCTACTATTTCCTACTATCATTATGTTATCAAATAAAACATATTTTCATGCCAAAAAGTAGAAGGACCTAATCTCAGAATAGAGAACAGCCTTGTAAAGTGGATCCGTTTTGTTTTATAAAAAATTCTTTAGTCATTTTGCCGCCCAGGAAGATGTCACAGTGGATTCTCAGAGTTGGTCTTTGCTGTTGGCTGTTTGGGCACTTAGCACTGCAGGTCACCAAATCAGTGTTGGTGTGGAAAAGTCCATCTTATGCCCACTTGTGGGCTCCATTTCCACCACCATGACCACTTGGTACATGGAACCATTGAACAAGCATTGTGGTAGCTGGAGAAAGAAGCTGAGTGACGTCCACCAGATAGGTCACCTTGTCCACCAGATTACTGAGATTGTCTTCCTCAGTGGATGTCCTATGGTGGAAATCAATGTGAGTCTCAAGTATCTTCATACTTTGTACCCATTCCTAGAAGTTACCTGCCTACCTTTCCTTCAGACCTCCTTGTCACCCTTTTTCTGATCTTGTTCTTTCCAAACACTTGACCTTCTAACCAACCCTTTGGGCATTAATTGTGAATCAGTATAGATTTATACATGAGGTCATCTTTTCTTGCTCATAAAGTGGACACCTAGATGTATTTCCCAAAATATGAATCACTGGGAGGATATTTCTTCCCCACTGTCTTTCAGGGACACACCTAAATAGGCTGTAATACAGTCAGCTTTCACTTTTGTCTGGTGCCAGTAGACTGGAAAACTCACCAGTAGCCCAGTCCACACTTTCTCTTCCCCCACTAACTAGTAATAGAGAGCTCTCCAAGATGTGATGGTTGGGGCTGGGAAAGAGGGAATGCAGTAGGAGGAGCAGGTGCCAGGGGAGGCTGAGCCACCTGTCTATGTTGTTCACTTGTCCCTTCTAGGCTTGTTTAGGTCAAGTCTTATGCATACCAGTTCCATTTGACAATGAGATGCTGCTGTGCATATCCAATTTTATAATGTGGTCAATCAAACAACACCCAGTTCATGATAGGCAGCCACTTGCTGTTCCATGGTCAGGTGTTTAGTCCTTACTAGGCTTAGTAGCAAATCAAACCTGGATCAGCCTTTTTCATGGACAATTTTGGTTGGCAGAAGTTGGCACAGCCATACTGTGAATCCCAAGGGGAGTGTTCTGTGCTTCTACTGTGGCTAGCCGGAGCCTCCATTCAGCATCTCTGTCTGCAACAGACACTTCCAATTCAGTTGGATATGACTGGTGGCTAGGCAGTTTGGACGGTGTTCTGGCTCTGCTGCAGAGCCTTTTTAGATCAAAACTGGCAGCCTCACAGGTGACCCAGAACTTGGGTCAGAACAGCACGCTTGTGTTCCTAGAATCCAAAGAGAACCCCCAAACCTTAGTCATCTTTGTGGAAAGTGAGTCAAGGTAAAATATTTGTCTCATACTTCTGAAGCGATTATACGCTGCCATTCTCCCAGACCACTGACACCTGGAACTCTCATTACTATCTGTTTTCCAGATCCATCTAGCACAATATCAATGATGAACTGGACCAGTGTCATATTCTGCAGCATATCAAGGCAATCAAGATCATCCTGGACTGTATTATGACAGAGGGCCAGGGAGTGAACAGAGCCCTTATAATATATGCAGTTTCTCTTGCACGTGAAGGCAACCTGTGTCTACTTATCTTTTCTGATCCCTTTCCTGGCTTCTAGGGTAATTCCATGTGATGATTAAGTGCTGCCATCTGCTTTCTACCACCCTGAGATCCCATTATTTCCATAAAAATCCAGAAGCTCAATGCCAACTTCCACCACCGCCTCCTGCATAACATCACCACCTCAGGGGCTTTCAAGGGTGCTGGTGCTCCCCTTACCAATACATTTCTAAGTTCCTTGGTAAAGCATCATCCAAGTCTTCTTAGGGGAATAGTCAGGGGATGATGATCATTTGAGTGTTCATGATGATAGCATGTCATAAATTACCAGTGTGTGTTTTTCTCTGGCAAGGAGTTTGCTTGTGCTTTCATGAGATATGTGGGCAACTCAATCCCCAAATCCGTTTTTGAGAGTCTGTTTTCTAGAATTACTCTATATTAGTCAAGGTCTTGGCAAGAAGCAGACGGCACACTTTAAAAATGGGATAAAATTGAAGAGTTTAATGAGGGAAGCTACTGTCACCTTTAGGCCTGAATGGGCAAGAGGATCATGTTACCAGAACCTGGAAAGAGCTGTGCTGTGGGAGAAGGATGCCTGGCAGGAATGTGGCCTTATGTAGAGAAATGCAGCTGCTTCTAAAACCTTGTTATGGCAGAAGAGAATAAGGTGGCTCTCTCTTTTCCCACACTTCACTCAAGGTGCTGATATATCCCTTTGGTTAAACCCAACTGAAAGTCAGAAAGCAAGAGCTCCTAGTGTTCATCCTGAGAAGTGAGGCTTCTGGGACATACACAGCAGAGTGGAGAATAGTGGAGAGGGGGCTTGGAGAAGACTCAGTACTTGGGCTAAGGATTTTTTTTCTGCATCTGGAGTCACTGGGATATCATGGCAACTTTTTTTGGAGAGATATATTTCTGGGCTATGTTTTAGGATAACAGTGGCATGTGAATTGAAATTTGGGTAGTTTAGAGGAGGGTGATCTGCCATGAGACCAGGGGGAATGGAGAGGCTGTGGAAGATGCTGGAAGGAAAGTATTCAGTGGATACATGTATTCAGTAGCTCTTCTTTATCCTTGTGGGATATATCCTAAGACCCCCAGTGGATGCCTGAAACCATGCGTAGTACCAGAATTATATATATACCATGTTTCTTTCCTATATATGTTGTGTTAGTTTGTTCTTGCATTGCTATAAAGGAATATCTATGACTGGGCAGTTTATAAAGAAAAGAGGTTTATTTGGCTCATGGTTGTGCAGGCCTTACAGGAAGCATAGCTCTGGCATCTGCTTCTGGGAAGGCCTCAGGAAGCTTACACTCCTGGAAGGTGAAGAGGGAGCAAGCATGTCACATGGGGAAGCAAGGGAGGGGGAGGTACTGTAAACACTTTAAACAGCCAAATCTCAGGAGAACAAACTCAGTATTGTGAGGACAGCACCAAGCCATGAGGGATCCTCCCCCATGATCCAGATACCTCCCACTAGGCCCTCCCTCCAGCATTGAGGATTACATTTCAACAGATTTAGGGGGACAAATATCCAAAGTATATCATATACACACCTAAGATAAAGTTTAATTTATACATTAGGCACAGTAAGAGATTAACAACTGTTAATTAAGTTATTATTGGTAAAGTATTATTAAGTAAAACGAGGGTTACTTGAATACAAGCACTACAATACTGCCATAGTTTATCTGGTCACTGAAAGGGCTACTAGGGTAGTGTCTACACTGTGGATATGCTAGACAAAGGGATGATTCATGTCCTGGAGGGGACAAAGTGGGGTGGCATGAGATTTCCTTACACTGCTCAGAATGGCAGGCAACTTCAAACTAGGGAATTATTTATTTCTGGAATTTTCTATTTGATATTCTCAGACCACGGGTAACTAAAACAGTGGAAGGTAAAACTGCAGATAAGGGGGAACTATCTTATGCCTTTTATGTCAGTGAGGTGGTAGAGAGTCGCTGTTTGAAGACCAGAGCTTCTGGCTGAGGCTGTGAGTGAGCCGGACCAGGAGGCTGTGGGGACGGCACACTACAGCAGATTGCCTCGGAGTTGTGCTTTTGAAGTTAGAAAGCCAAATCAATGTGAAGAGCATTTGGTCGTCCTCATTTCTATGCACACGTAGATTGCATATTAATATCAAAGGAAGTCAGTCGTGTATGTAAAGGAGAAAGAATTTTCTTTGGAGTCTTTAATTGTCAAGCGCCATTAAGATTTTCTTCTTCTTGCCTACGAAAATGACAGAATCCACTTTAAAAGCTTTGAAAGCAAATAATGAAATTTGATGCCAGGGGTGGTAGCAACAATAGAAATGGCTAATATTTATTGAGTACTTTCCAGGCAGTGTGCTTTGCATTTCTGCCTTATTAATCACTACTACCAACCTTATGCAATGGTATTCTTTATGTTACAGATGAGGAAACAGAAGCTTAGGCAAGTGAAACCCAGTCTTATACAGAAGAAATGACAAGTTGGTTCTCTAAGGCAGTACTGGTCAGCTCTTATAAAGCCCATACTCCTAACCTTCATTTTCTATTGTATCTCAGTGGTAAATGATTTCTGTATAAAATTTGCCTGCTGATTGCCTATTGTCTTTCAATTACACACGTGTGTGTGTTTGTGTGTGTGTTCAATGCATTTTGAAACTGCCTGTATCCAGTGCAGCCATTAATTCAGGAGATTCAGGTTTTTAAGCATCTAATTAATTAATCATGGAATGAGAAATTGATCAGGCTCTGGCTCAGCACAGTGGCTCATGCCTGTAATGCCAGCACGTTGGGAGGCCAAGGCGAGGGGATTGCTTGAGCTCAGGAGTTCAAGGCCAGCCTGGACAACATGGCAAAATGCCATTTCTACAAAAAAATACAAAAATTGGTGGCGCATGCCTGTAGTTCCAGCTACTTTGGAGGCTGAGGTGGGAGGATGGCTTAAATCTGTAAGGTTGAGACTGCAGTGAGCCAAGATCATGCCACCACCCTCCAGCCTGGGCAGCAAAGTAAAACCCTGTCAAAAAAAATAAATACGGAAAGAAACCACCAAAAATACAGAAATTGACCAGCCTTTGGGTCAGTTATTTGAGTCATAGATAAAAGTGTACAGAATAACCATGGCTTATATTAAGGGTGAGAACAACTGGCTTAGAATATTGCCAGACACATAGTAAATGTTCTATTAAGGTTACCTGTTATTAGTAATACTCCCCATACTAAAAGTGTAAACTTCAGTAATATTTGCTTCAGAATCCATATTTCATAGAGATTTTAAATTTTATCTGAACAATTACATTTTCTCTCTGACCATCTGTGTCCAAAAGATGATCACTGTCATGAATTTGGTGGTATATGTATCTGATGATGTTTCCATAACATTAGTATTAATTTATGTATACATACACAGTTTTATTGAAAACTTACCTAATGCTATCATATTACACATATTCACCTCAAAACACTGTCATTTTCCACAATATCGTGGAAAATCTCTCTGTGAAGCACACATAACTAGTTAGAATCTAGTTTACCTAATGCATGCTGCTATCTGGGGATGAACTTAATTCTGTCAATGTCTTATTATAACCTTCCTGTGAGAATCTTGGTGCCTCTTTCTATTCACACAAATGAAAATTTCCATATGATAGATGCATAAAAGATAGTTGTTCGTTTGTAAAATTCATGAATATCCAATATTATTGTTAGTTGTCTGCATTTGTTTTCCCAATTTTTTAAAAAAATCAGATGCAGTAAACTACCTGAAACTATTAGAACCAAGAATATCCCTGAAGTCTGTCTGGTAATAGTAGTAGTCATTCCATGATAGCTCCCATGAAATTCCCATCTTTTATAGGTAATAATATATTCATATCTCAGATTTCTGAAGTACTGTAAAATTAATTACTGCTTATGTAAAACCCTACAAACCACAATATTTGTGCCTAAAGACTCCTATAAGCCACTAGTTCCTTCAGCTAATCTACTGATGAATTCACTGAGTCTGAAGAGGAGGATCAATAACCTGCCTCTGTTGGTTCATCTGGAACCAAAGCAGATGTGAAAAGAAAAATGTTCAGTGGGTTCTGTTGGGGAGGAGATCCCTAGCATCGGAGGCAGGAGTCCAAGATCTGAGTCTCAATTCTTTTATCCCCTGCAGCCTTAGCACTTAATAAACATTCCATCATGGTGAAAATAAAAAACATAGTTAAGATTTCCCAAGCACAGTAAGTGAAATGTTTGCCTATAGCCTCTCAATTACGCATACACACACATGCATATGTGTGTGTGTGTGTGTGTGTGTGTGTGTGTGTGTATGTGGGGGGGTGTTTGTGTGTGTGTTCAGTGAATTTTGAAACAATGGGCCAGGAACTGTTTTAAGTGCTTTACGTATATTATCTCATTGTATCCTCACAACAGTTTTAGGAGGGAGATGCTAAAAGATTTCGTGTGAGTTATAGCACAGTAAACTAAGGGGGAAAATTACTCTCATATTGAAATGCTATATTAACACTTGCTTTAGTATTTCGACATAAAGTGACTCTTTGGAAGCAGAATTTTGTCAGGACCAGTCAATTACCTGCTTATACTTTCAGAGTCATTTATTCATTCAAAAACACTTCCTGACCAGCTAATATTTGTCAAGTTCTGTTCTCAGTCATGGGATACACCCATGGATAAGGATGGCTTCCTCTTTTGAGATGCTTTTCAGTAGGGAGAAAACTGAATTGAGCCACGTCCCGTCAACACTCCCAGTCTTGGTAAAAAGCAGGCAAAGGAAGCTGGAAGAATTCAACCTTGATTCAGGAAAAGACAGAATAATTTACCATTTTTCTAGCCTGAAGGTTGAATTGTTAGTTCGATTGTGGTTGATGTCATGGCACTTTGATTGTGCTGCTTTGTCCTCATTTACTTAACTATGGAATTTTGCTTCCCTGATCTCTAACTCTAATCAAATTCTTGCCTTCCTGACCCACTCAGAGGTCCAGAAAAATATCTCTACCATTCAAAACTTTTCTTTAA